CCATGGCCCCTCTGTCCCAGCTCTTCTCCTGGAATCCATTCTCATTGGCCAGCAACTGGAGAGGCGGTGCCTGGCATAACCAAGGGCTCCAGGACTCCTCCATTCAGTGCGGGATCACGTCTGTTCTGATTGGTCAATCTCTGTGCCTCACGGTTGGGTAAAGATTTTGAATATCACCCAGGTTAGGGTGACTGACCTGCACGCAGGAGGGAATGATAACACACATGCCTATAGGACCTCCTTGCAGGCCTCCCCCTTTCTTTAGCAATAAGGCCCTGCCCATACCAGTCCCACCCTCTTCACCACCAGTTTGGATTCTCTTCATGGGGCCAAGTTAATTATTGCTCAATGAGAGGTCATTCACTCAGGGACAACAGTGGAAGAGTTGTCATTCAGGCGTCTCCTGAAGGCCCCCAGGATAGGACCACAATTGAACTAGCCATATACCCATTATGGGCTCCCAGTGCCAGCAGCAAGGACACCCCTGTCCCCCACCCAATCACCCACTCACCACTCAGACACCCAGAGTGGCAGAAACACACAGCTCACACCCCACAACAAGGACACACACAACTCAGACCTACAACTCTCTCACACACACACACGCACGCACGCACACGCACATGCACATGCTAAGACATACACCTACGCAGACCCACAAAACAGACCCACCATCCACCCACACACAGCATGGAAATACACAGCCAAGATACACTCACTCGGTGACATTCAGCAGACCCAAACACATAACAATAGACACATGCACTGGAGCCAGATGTTCACACATCCGTCCCTATGCTCAAGGGCGGGGCACACAATACGGAGACACCCTCACACTGGGACATGTTCTCCATTTTCTGTATGTTACAGGAGAAAGACAAGTGGCCCCCAGTGTAAGCAGACTGACATCTGCACATCTTCAGGGTCTACCCAGAGCCTGCTAATCCCGGCCAACCTGCTCCGCTTGGCATTTGGGGCCTCAACTAACCAATCACCCCCTTTCCCCATGGTGATCCCAACATCCACCCTCCTCTCACACAGGCCATGCCCTGCTCCACAGCTCCCCCAAGCCAGGACCTAATCAAAGTCCCAAATACAAGCATCTTTTAGAGCCTAGAGCAGGCCTTGCATTCCTCCTCCCCTACCTTTCCACCAGAACTCCCAGACTCAGAGCTCAGGCCCCCGGGGCCCCTCTCTCTGCCTGCCCCTCCTGGCACTTGGACACACACCCTCCATCTCACCACTCAGATGCAGGAGGGAACTCTTCCAAGAGCAGATGCCTTGTCTCTCCAGAGGAGCCAAATCCAGAGGATTCGGGGATTTCAGGTCATTCTATCTTCTATGTTCCTTCACTAACTGCCCCCATTAGTTTATTGTTGCACCTCTCTGAACCTGCAGGCTGAATCCTCCTGCCCCTCACCCCTTCCCTCCTCCAACCTTAAACAGCCACTAGAAAGTGCTCCTCTCCACCACCCACCCCAGCCTTTCCCCTCAACTTATCTAATGTTTCCATCACCCAAATAGCTTCCCTGATCAGCACTACCTTGCTCCTTTGCAAATTTCTTCCCTGTCCCCTCCACATGGTTGGGGAGCTACACTGCTGTTACTCATCTGTATCTCTTGTCATTCCCTGTGCCCTATCTAAACCTTCTGCAAGGAAGATCAAGACAAATCTAGCAAAACTAAAGAGAGAATTATAATACAATAAGAGAACTAATGCTTTCTCTGTGGGACAAATGTGGGGGACTGTGTCTCCATTATCAGCAGCTTAGAAGTGGGAACTGTGCCTCATCAACCGGAGAGGGCAGAGGAGGAAACAGGCTCAGACAGGGTACGCAACTTACTCACTGTCTCGACTGATCACTATCTGTGCTGAGATTTGAACTCAGGCCTGTGTGGCGGTGGGGGCCAGGCTCGCCAGCACAGGTTGGCATGAGTCATGGCCAGGATCAGGCTGTCTGGAGCCCGCTCAGCCACTGTTTACTGACCATCTACCCTCGCAGCCATGATCCTTGTCCTCAGGCCCAGCCAGGGATAACTCACTAGGAGTCAGGAGAGGGCTCTGCCTTGGGTATCATTTTATTATCACCATTATCTCTACCTTCGTTAGCCTAATCGTTGACTGCTTAATAAGCAGTCAGGTGCTGTGCCTTGGCTGACACACCCTGCCTGTGGGTATCCTAGAACCTATGATGCCAACAAAAGGCCAACACCCACCATCGATGCCTCCATTCATTCCATCATTGAACATTTCTCTTGATGACCACTTGTACCAGACCCTGTGCTAGATGCTAAGGGGTGCAAAATACATAAGATATAGCTCCTGCCTTCACTGAACATCTTGTCTATGGCAGAGACACAGAAGTAATTGCAACCCAGAGAAATCTGAACTGTGATAGAGGGATGTTCAGACAGCAGCAGGAGCTCTGAAGAGGGAGTGATTAAATCTGTCTGGAGGTGGGAAGAATGCTTCAGCCCCATGGTGACTGCTCTGAGCTAAAGAGAATGAATAGGGGTTTGCCAGGTAACCAAGGGATGGGCATTCCAGATAGAGGGAATGAGAGGTGCAAAAAAACACCAGGGTGACAGAGTGTTCAGCTAACTGCAAATGATCTGGGACAACTTGGGCCCAGGGCAGCAAGAGATGGGTCTGGAAAGGTGGACAAGAGCCCAGAACAAGGCAGCAGAGAAAGGCAATCCCAGTGAAACTGCTAGAGGCAACAAGGCTAAGGTCTCAGGGGAATAAGGGTTAACAAGGGGAATCACTCATTCCAGGTGGGTTGTTCTGGGTGGCTACTAAACAATAACCAGCTAACATTTATCGAGAGCTGTGCTCTAAGCATTTATAAAATATATTAAGTGTAAAGAATAAGAGTACAATGAATCCTCATCATGTCCCATCAACTTTGAAGTCCCTTTCTAAATCTATTACCTCCCCCCAAAGGTAATGATTACCCTGAATTTGGGGTTAATCATTTCCTTACTTTTCTTTATGATTTTAATGCATACTTATGTATCCCTAAGAAATATTTTTGTATTTTTGAACTTTTCATATAAATAATTCTGTTTTCTGACTTGTTTATATCCCCTCAACATCATATACCTGCTTAATAGTATTAAATGCCAATTTTTTGCTCTTACAAACACTGCAGCTATGAATATGAATATATATGAATGAATATTCATATATATTGTCAAATAAAAAACAAATCTGGACTCAGTAAAGAGGGACTTCATTTTATTTTATTTTTTTATATATATTTTTAAAGATTTTATTTTATTTTATTTTATTTTATTTCAGAGAGAGAGTGAGAGAGAGAGAGCACGAGAAGGGGGGAGTGGGAGAGGGAGAAGCAGACTCCCCGCTGAGCAGGGAGCCCGATGTGGGGCTTGATTCCAGGACCCTGGGATCATGACCTGAGCCGAAGGCAGATGCTTAACGACTGAGCCACCCACAGGCGTCCCAAAGAGGGACTTCATTTTAAATGATTATTACAAGAGAGGAAAGGAACTATTGCAAGGGAGAAAGAAGCTACTGCAATGGGACCATGAGATCTACCTTCAAGGGTTAGGCAAAAGGAGTTCATCATTCATAGGGAAAAGTAAACAAGGCTAGAAAGAACTGGGTGTGAGGAAGGGTCACACCTTCCTCAGTGTTGAGGAAGGAGTGGCATGATGCGACAGTAGATCAGAAAATGTTTTACCCTGAAGCCAGCCTATTCTCAGGAGGGGTTGTGGGCTGGCGCAAACTTGGGGGGGTGGGAGAGGGAGGCAAAGTTCAGGGACCTGGGGGAAGGAGAGCAGCTTAACCGAAGTTTGGTTAACAAGCATTTTGTTCTGATTGATCAGTGGGGACAAGCCGTTCATCTAAGCGTTTACAAGGCAAAGAATTGGAATTTGGAGCCTGTTGCTAGCCTTGACATGGGTAAACAAGGGGGCACCCAGGAGTTTTATCTATGTCATAAAAGGAAGCGTGCTTCTTTGCAGTAAGCTGTGTTCCAGAACACAAAAGGGTGGGAATGGGGTTTCTTAACCTTCGCTCTTTTCCAGGATCACAGGGCTGGGTGAAGTTTAACATTGTCAATACAAAGACATATGCAAGAATTTCTTTTAAGTATATACATAGTAGTGGAATTGCTGGGTCAAAGGATAGGAGTAGCTTCACTTCTACTGGGTAATGTCAAATTATTTTCCAGAGTGGTTGTACTAGTTTACACTCCACAATGGTGTATGGGAGATCCAGTTGTTTACACTGTCACCGACACTTGAGGATTTAAAAATTTTTGTCAGTCTGATGGATGTTAAGTGGGTCTCACTGCATTTCCTTGATTATCAATGAGATTGAGGCTCTTTCATTGTTAATTCGATGTTTCTTTTCTGTGAAGTGTCTTCAGTCCACTTTTCAATTGGATTATCTTTTCCTTAGAGATTTGTGGAAGGGCATGAACATGCTTTGGAAGCATAAGTGGATGAACTGAAAAGGCTCTGAAGGAGAAAGCTGAGATTAGGTGTGGGAAATCCCCCCAAACCAAAAATCTTAAAAACTGCCCCTCCCGCAGGCTTCTAATTTTATCATCACTAAAGCCTTATGAAAGAGATCTGTAGGGGCGCCTGGGTGGCTCAGTCGTTAAGCGTCTGCCTTCGTCTCAGGTCATGATCCCGGGGTCCTGGGATCGAGCCCCGCATCGAGGCCCGCATCGGGCTCCCTGCTCTGCGGGGAGCCTGTTTCTCCCTCTCCCACTCCCCCTGCTTGTATTCCCTCTCTCGCTGTGTCTCTCTCTTTCAAATAAATAAATAAAATCTTTAAGAAAAAAAAAAGAAAGATCTGTAAACCCATTTCTCAGGTGAGCGTTCTCATCATCGTCGGCGTCTCTCCGCCGGGGAGCGACCCGAACGACTTACCCCACACCTTGCCAGCGCCTGCACCACAAGCCGGCGCACTAATCGCGGATTACTCTACATTGCATAGCAGAGGCCTCCGCACGGCTTGTGATATTCTCGCGAGAGTTGGTTCCAGCGGATCACGTGACAGTCCAAGATGGCGGTGCCCAGCGAGGCGGAGGAGGAGGCGACAGTCTATTTAATAGTGAGCGGTATCCCCGCGGATTTGCGGTCGGCCCAGCTCCGGAGCTACTTTAGCCAGTTCCGAGAACAGCGCGGCTGTGGCTTCCTGTGTTTCCACTACCGGCATCGGCCTGAGCGGGCTCCTTCCCAGGCTGCTCCCGACTCAACCCTAACTCCTGTGGGCCAGGACCTCGCCCACACTTCGGCCACCGATGCCCACGCTGTCTCCGCTCCGGACTCCGCTCCCGTCCAGACCCGCACCTGCTGCTGCGTCATTTCGGTACGGGGGGCAGCTCAAGCTCAGCAGCTTCTTCGCATGTACTCGGGCCGCAGGTGGCTGGATTCTCAGGGGACTTGGTTGCCCGGTCGTTGTTTCATCCGCAGACTGCGGCTACCTACTGAGGCATCAGGTACGGGTGGGAAAGATAATGGACTGAGCCTACCGGCCCTGGAACGGAGACCCCTTTCCTGAGGGATGACGGGGATAAGTCAGGTCTCTGATTATCAGACTCTTTAAGAGTTTAGGTCAGTTCTGATCAGTTTCAGGCTCAACTGCATGTTAGTCTAACTTAGAGCGGAAGTAACGGGAAGAGGCCTAATGGGATGATCCTTCATTTTCCAATTTATTAGATTCCTTCTGAGACCCTTTTCTCAATCTGAGGGGTTGATATTCCATTGACACGGAAGGAAGAAAAGGAAATGAGGTTTCTAATCCTCTTATTGTCTTTTTTTTTTTTTTTACGATTTTATTTATTTATTTATTTGTGAGAGAGCGCGCGCGCGCACATAAGCAAGGGGAGTGGCAAGCAGAGGGAGAAGCAGGCTCCCTGCCGAGCAAGGAGCCTGATGAGGGACTCGATCCCAGGACCCGGAGGTCACAACCCTAGCGGAAGGCAGACGCTTAACCGACTTAGACACCCAGGCGTCACTTATTGTCTTTTTTTTTTTTTTTTTAAGATTTTATTTATTTATTTGACAGAGACATAGCAAGAGAGGGAACACAAGCAGGGGGACTGGGAAAGGGAGAAGCGGGCTTCCCACCGAGCAGGGAGCCCGACGCGGGGCTATCATGATCCTAGGACCCTGGGATCATGACCTGAGCCAAAGGCAGACGCTTAATGACTGAGCCACCCAGGCGCCCCTTATTGTCAGTGTTTATTGCATTCTTCTTTGCTTCCTATCCAGCCCTGTCTTGGCAAGACGCAAATGAAAAGACGATCTCTTTTCTCTGGATAGCTCCCATTTGCATGGGAAATCACTTTGAATGGGGAACAGGAAACACTGCAGAGTCCTCTCATTCATTCATTCAACAAATCAAGCTTATATGCTACACTTAGTGTGACTCTAGCAGCTGTGCAGAGAACAGTTAGACACAGTCTGTGCTCAGGATTCAGAGAGGAAGACAGATTTGTAAAAAGGTAATTGTCACAGAGATGCCATTATAATTGTTAACATTTATGAGCACTTCCTGTGTACTTACTAGGCACTGTTCTAAGCCTTTCATTTTCCTGTTGACTCCTTGCAACAATCCTATAAGGTAGGAGCTATTGTTACCCATTTTATAAGTGAGGATACTGAGGGATACAGAAGTTATGTTAGCTGCTCAAGGTTACAGAGCTAAGAAGTGGCAGAGTCACAGTACAAACCCAGGCACATTGCCCCAGAGCCTGTGCTCTTTATTACCAGGTGCTGTGAGATGACAGGGGAGGGAGAAACTGATCTCCTAGAGGGATCAGGAAATGTGGCTTTTCATCTGGATCTGAAAGAGAAACAGGAGTTTGTAGGAAGGAACGGTGTTCAAAGTAAATGGCATTTGCAGACACAGATGGTGAAAGCCCATGGAACTTTCAGGGCATGTTAATTGTTTGGTGTGGATGAAGCACATGGTATGAGGATGTGCAGGGAGTGGGGGTCGGTGGCAGTTGAGAATCAAAAAGTCAACAGGAACCAGATCTGAAAGAAACTCGTGTGCTCAGCTGAGGTGATGAGAAATGGCATGAAAGTATTAGGTGGTTCTGGTCAGGGAATGGAGGAAGTTACTATGGAGAAGTTTGAAAGGGAGGAACAGCATTAGGCCAAAAGAGTTGAACCGATTTCTGGCTCAAGTGTTGCTGGAGGCTTCTAGGTTTCAAGAGCCATTCTTTCTTCTGCTTTCCAAGGTTTGGGCTCCTTTCCTTTCAAAACTCGGAAGGAGCTGCAAAGTCGGAAAGCTAAGAGTGAAGCCTTCACTCTGGCCGATCTGAGGCAACTGCCAGAGCTGAACCCACCAGTGCTGATGCCCAACGGGAATGTGGGGACTCCTCTGCGGGTCTTTTTGGAGTTGATCCGGGCCTGCCGCCTACCCCCTCGGATCATCACCCAGCTACAGCTCCAGTTCCCCAAGACAGGTTCTTCCCGGCGCTATGGCAATGTACCGTTCAAGTATGAGGACTCAGAGACTGTGGAGCAGGAAGACCTTGTGTACACGGCTGAAGGCGAAGAAATACCCCAAGGCACCTGCCTCGCAGACATAGCAGCCAGCTCCCATGGAGAGCCAGAGGAGGAAGGGGAAAAGGAGGAGGAGGAAGAGTCACACTCAGATGATGTGAGTACAGTGAGGTACCCTGTCTTTGCTGGCAGCTTAAGAGAGGCTAAAGCATTAATACTGTCACTCTTCGGTTGTGTATCACAATAGTTCTAAACGTGCGGGCTTCTCAGGAGGGTTCCAGAGAGTTAGAACTCCCTGACGTTGAATATAAAACTGCATTTGCATGTGCAAATATGCACTTCTTTGAGGAGAGGGGCCAGAGTTTTTATCAGAAGATTCTCAAAGGGGTCTTCTTTGCACTCTCTTAGAAGGAATGTGAGGAGCGTCCTTTTCATAGATGGGATGTGAACTTGGCCCCCTTTGCTGCTTGTCTAACCTCTGTGTGCTTTCATTATGTGACTGAGAAGTCACCTCTATTTTCTGACCTTGAGTCTGTGGCTTGGACGCTAGCTCCCACTCTAATTTTATCAATGAAGTAGACATTTCTTCTTCCTCTTTCTCCAGATTTGGTTGTTCATCCATAAAATCAGGGAAGGTGTGATTTTTGGAGAAACTTTTCTGTGTGTGCGTACTCTGGGTAAAAAATAATTCACCTGTGTCTTCAAAGCTGCCAGCCCAGAGTTGCTAACGTCTGTACCACATCCTTAGTATAGTACCGTCTGGACTGTTCCCCCGCACCTGCTCAGCAGGGACTCCTGAGGCCTCTTGGGACTTTAAGACAGGGACCCCCAAGATTTCAAGCCAGGAGCCATCCTATCATTCTGCAAGTCTAGACAGGTAGCTGTACACACAGGTCAGTGCAGGATTCCAGAGACATTCCAGGATGCACTTCCTGCCTTGACAGAGCCTGAAATCTCCCTGAAGAGAGAGAATCAGCGTCTGGAAAGGCTGTATGGTATGGCGACCTGGGTTTGAACGCTGGCTCTGCCACTCTCTTGGTGTATTATTTTGGGCAAGTCACTTTACTCCTCTGAACCCAGGTCTCCTCGTTTGTAGAACGGGAATGATGGTACTCACCTCACAGTGTTGTTGGGGTGATCAGAGGAGCTAAGTTCATGAGAAAGGCCTGACACACAGTAGACAATAGGTTGTCTTAGTTGTTATCCCCTCTTTCTTTACGACATAATGTGTGGAGGCCTAAACGGTGTGTACCGATTACCTCCAAAATGAGGAGTTCGGAGACCAGCAAGAGCGCTGTGGGCCTCCGTGTGGGGGCTTCATGTAGGATTGTAGAACTTGAGGGATGAAAAAAAAAAAAAAGGGGGCGCCTGGATGGCTCAGTTGGTTAAGCGACTGCCTTCGGCTCAGGTCATGGTCCTGGGGTCCTGGGATCGAGTCCCGCATCGGGCTCCCTGCTCTGCGGGGAGCCTGCTTCTCCCTCTCCCACTCCCCCTGCTTGTGTTCCCTCTCTCGCTGTGTCTCTCTCTGTCAAATAAATAAATAAAATCTTAAAAAAAAAAAAAAAAAAAAGAACTTGAAGGATGAGGATTTACCAGGTGAAGAAGAGAAGGTGGTAGGAGAGGAGAGCAGATATTTTCAGCAGGGGGAACAACATGGCCAGAAGCACAGAGGTTAAGAGGGAGTCAGGCTTCGGGGAAGGCGCCAGGTATGTTGAGACACGAGGGGTGGAGAGATGTGTTGGGCAAGGCCTCAGGGGCCAAATATGTGCTGCTTCTAAGAGAAATTTGGAAGAATGGAGCTGAAGACCTGGCTCACGGGCTTGCTGGGCCCTGAGCTGCCCTCCTTGCGGGCATGAGGTCAGGAGGCTAGACAGACAGGTCACCTCTCCTCACTGTCTCCAAGGATGACGACCGGGGTGAAGAGTGGGAGCGTCATGAAGCACTGCATGAGGATGTGACCAGGCAGGAGCGCACCACCGAGCGGCTCTTTGAGGAAGAGATCGAGCTCAAGTGGGAGAAGGGCGGCTCCGGCCTGGTGTTCTACACGGACGCCCAGTTCTGGCAGGAGGAAGAAGGAGGTAATGCTGGCACCCAGGCCAGGGCAGGAGTGATCCCTGGTGCACTGGGTCAGGGTTCTCCATTCCACATGGTGGGTTCTTTGGCAGTGAGGCCAAATAAAGGGCTAGCAAAGAGGCTTACCTTGCTTGTGTGAGAGACCAATCATCCTTTTTAGGGGTGGGGGATCAGTGGAGTGGAGAAAAAATGACCCCTGCCCCTGTAAGTTCTGAATGACCCCCCCCCCCCGCGGGAGAGATTTAAAAATACAATGAAAAGCCCCAAGTTCTAGAACATAGCTCTTAGCTTAGACTGAACTCTCAACAGAACTGTGAGTCCTTTGCTTACTCTGTTTGACTTATCTGCAGACTTTGATGAACAGACAGCCGATGACTGGGACGTGGACATGAGTGTGTATTACGACACAGGTACTGGGCCAGGGCTGCAGTATGGGGAGGGGGAGCCGGTCCTCTGGCCTTGCAGTGACATTTTACCAGGCCTGCTTAGCAGAGATGGGACCAGTTCCCTTGGGGTCGTCCACTGAGAGGGTTCCCCTCTTCAAACATCTCCACTTGTGTACATCAAGTGCTGGTTGTGGGCAGAGCCTTTTTCCTTTTTTTTGTGGAGTCAGCCCTCAGGGGGCTCTGGTTCTGGTGGGCAGGTCCTGGTAGAATGGGAGGGCCAGGAGCTCAGGCTCTGGTTTTAAGAGTTTAGATTCTGGAGTAAAAAATGACCTGGGTGAGGGGAGGGTGGGAGGGGAAGACCTGGGTTCTAATTCCACTTCTCATCTTTTGGCTCGATGACTTTTCTGTACCAGTTTCCTTATCTGGGAAAGCCAGGGTCCCTAGTCTAATAATAATAAAGTACTAAAACACCAGGGGCGCCTGGGTGGCTCAGTCATTTGAGTGTCTGCCTTCAGCTCAGGTCATGATCCCGGGGTCCTGGGATCAAGCCCGGAGTTGGGCTCCCTGTTCAGCGAGGAGTCTTCTTGTCCCTTTCCCTCTACCCCTCCCCCCTGCTCATGCTCTCTCTGTTAAATAAATAAATAAAATAAAAAGTAATAAAACACCCTAAAGATGAATATGTAAATCTTGTGAGGAGGTCCTAGAAATCTGATTTTTTCCCCTTTCTGCTGAGAGAGACCCTTCTCCAAACTGAGCTCTGCTTCCTCAGATGGTGGAGACAAGGATGCCCGAGACTCTGTCCAAATGCGTCTGGAACGGAGACTCCGTGATGGCCAGGAGGACAGCTCTGTGATCAAATGCCAAGTGGGCACCTTTGAGCGCCACACCAAGGTAAGCACTGTGCCTAGCCCATTGACCCCTCTCTTTTTCTTCTCTATCCCCATTCCTCCCCCCACACACACAAGGAACCCCATACTCTTGAGTCTTCTGTCTTCCCTGCATAGGGCATTGGACGGAGGGTGATGGAGCGGCAGGGCTGGGCTGAGGGCCAGGGTCTGGGCAGCCGGTGTTCAGGGGTGCCTGAGGCCCTGGATGGCGATGGCCAGCACCCTAGATGCAAGCGTGGATTGGGGTGAGTATGACCAAGGGACTTCCCTGGGGGCCCCAGCTAGCCTTTCATCTGTACCCTGGTTTCCCCTTTCCCTCTGATTTTGGGATGGGTTCTGGAGACTCCTAGGGGATGAACTTCAAAGCAGAATTAGAAGGAAAAGGTAGGTCTGGCACTATTTTTTTTTTTGGACCAAGTGCTAAGGCTTAACAGGATCACTAGTCTTTGGGGGAGTCATACTAGTCCAAACTAGTCTGAGGAGTTTGGACTTGATGATTGCCGTTAGGGAGTGCTTGTAAGTCACAGTTTGCTGACAGTTGTTCTAAACTCTGTGTACTATTTGAAATGAAAGCAGTGTGCGAGACCCCAGGTTGCTGGCACTGTCAGTGAATAGATAAGGAGGCTGAAAAGCAAAGATCCAGATCTAAAGGCTCTGTCTTTGGGACAAACCAGACATGTAAGAGCTGCGTCTCTGTCCTTTCCCAACCTATTAAGGGTTTGATTGAGAGCAGTCCTCTCACTGTGAGCTCTTTTTTTTTTTTTTTTTTTAAGATTTTATTTATTTATTTGACAGAGAGATAGAGAGCACAAGTAGGCAGAGTGGCAGGCAGAGGGAGAGGGAGAAGCAGGCTCCCCACTGAGCAGGGAGCCGGACGCAGGGCTCGATCCCAGGACCCCAGGATCATGACCCGAGCCAAAGGCAGATGCTTAACCGACTGAGCCACCCAGGCACCCCTCACTGTGAGCTCTTTTTAATGCAGGTACCACGGAGAGAAGCTACAGCCATTTGGGCAACTGAAGAGGCTCCGTGGAACTGGCTTGGGGCTCATCTCCACCATCTATGATGAGCCCCTACCTCAAGATCAAGGGGAGTCGCTGCTCCGACGCCAGCCACCCACCAGCATGAAGTTTCGGCCAGACGTGTCCTTTGTGAGGAGTTCCAGCTGTGCCTTGGACAGCCCCTCAGAGCCTGAGTGACATTTCGGGGCCTTCCTCAGTATCACTCATAACTGCACAGTGGCAGCCCTCTGCCTTGGCCTTATCTCCCACCACAGCCTGAAGAACTTTGGGAGCAGCAATCTGTGCAGCTTGTTCAGGGTGCTTTATTCTGAACTTGCCTTCTGGCTCTCTACCTCAAGGGCATTCTCCCCAAAGCCCCCTAGCCGCCTCTTTTAATATTGGGGCTTAATGACCTCTCATTGGTTTCCCATCCCCAGTCCATGTTTGGGCTTGTCCATGCTGCCTCGCCCAGTACCTTGAACAGTTGTATTGACTGGAGTTCTCAGCACAAACTTCGTTGGGGGGGGGTCGCTATAAAGGTCAGAAAGAGGGGGTGATGGACCTGGAAGAGGGGAGGATTCGTGGTGCTAGTAGGAGACGGTCTCGCGCCGGGCTCTCCGTCGCCTCCTCCCCTGACTGGCTGGGACCAGGAGCGGCAAGGCCGCGCGGGAAGTGGCCCGAGTCTGCGACCTAACGGGAGAATAAATAAGTTTACTACCGGAGTTCCCTTTTTATCTTCTAATTTGGGCCGGGGGACGGTCGGGAAAATCCGGGTTACAGTCGCCCACCCCACCCCAGTGACGCGCGCAGACTCCAGTACCCTGCTCGGGTAGAAACGCCCCGCTCGCCACGCCCCCGACGCCAAGCTGCGCCTCCGTCGGGAGGGCGGGACTTCCTCCCAGGGCCCCCGCCGTTTCCGACGTCGCCCGGAAGTCGGGAGCTGGTCCGGTTAGTAACGGGCCGTTTGGTCCCCTTGCACCGTCCAGGTACTTGCGCTTCCTCCGGGGACGCCCGGGCATCGCCGCCAGCCCCCGAGATCCCGTCGCCCTCGGCTCGTGTCTCTGCCGAGCTTATCTGCCCCGCACGGGCCCGCGTGCCGCCCATGGCGGGGGCCGCCACGACCACGGCCTTTGGGCAGGCGGTGATCGGCCCGCCCGGCTCGGGGAAGACCACGTACTGCCTGGGCATGAGTGAGTTCCTGCGCGCGCTGGGCCGGCGTGTGGCGGTGGTGAACCTGGACCCGGCCAACGAGGGGCTGCCGTACGAGTGCGCCGTGGACGTGGGAGAGCTGGTGGGGCTGGGCGACGTGATGGACGCGCTGCGGCTGGGGCCTAACGGCGGCCTGCTCTACTGCATGGAGTACCTGGAGGCCAACCTGGACTGGCTGCGGGCCAAGCTAGAGCCCCTCCGCGGCCACTACTTCCTCTTCGACTGCCCGGGCCAGGTGGAGCTCTGCACGCACCACGGCGCCCTGCGCAGCATCTTCTCCCAGATGGCGCAGTGGGACCTCAGGGTGCGTCTTGGTTCGAGCAGGCTCCTTTTGCAGATGGAGGAACTGGGACAGGGAGGACAGATGCCACGCCCCCATGTCACACAGCGAGGTAGGGGCCGAGTTGCTTTGGAGTAAAACTGGTGTGAGTTCGAATTCATGCTCTGCCACTGACTCGCTGTGTGGGCCTGGGTAAGTTAGTTTCTCTCTCTGAACCTCAGTTCTCTCATCTGCAGAATGGATGTGCTAGTACCCACTTTGGGATTATTGGAAGTATGGAAGGGGTTATGTAGAAAGTGGTATGGTGATTTTTTTTTTTTTTAAGATTTTATTTATTTATTTGACAGAGAGAGACACAGCCAGAGGGGAACACAAGCAGGGGGAGTGGGAGAGGGAGAAGCAGGCTTCCCGCCAAGCAGGGAGCCCGATATGGGGCTTGATCCCAGGATCCTGGGATTATAACCTGAGCCGAAGGCAGGACGCTTAACGACTGAGCCACCCAGGCGCCCCTGGTATGGTGATTGTTGTTGTGACTTGCTGAGCAAAAGTAAATGAAACAGAGTTAGATGCAATCAGAATTGAGCCAGTTGCCCACTGGGAGGCACAGTGCAAGGCATCTTGTAAGGAAAAATGCTCCGTATCTCCTGGCAGAAGGAAATGAGTGTCGCTATTAGAACAAAGCAGAAGCAGGAGGACACTAATGGGGAAGGCTTGCAGTCTGTCCTCAGGAGTCCCCAGCCTTTGGGGAAAGACATAGGCCGTGATGTTTCCTGCCTCCCCAGGCCACTCACCCTGTCTCTTCCTCCCTTTCCAGCTGACTGCTGTCCACCTGGTGGACTCTCATTACTGCACAGACCCGGCCAAGTTCATTTCCGTACTGTGTACCTCTCTGGCCACCATGCTGCATGTGGAGCTGCCCCATGTCAACCTCCTCTCCAAGATGGACCTCATTGAGCACTATGGGAAGCTGGGTGAGAGCTCCTATTCTGGACAGGCAAGGAGAAGGGAGCAGATCTCAGCTGAAGGGAGCTGCCTCCAGGGACCATGCATGGCTTGGTGATCATAGCCACAGGCAGGTCCTGATTCCTGCCACTCTGGGCCAGATACTGTTCTGGGTTTTGGGGACAAGAGAGTTATATAGTTGGTGCTATGTACTGCAAAGGAATTAAAACAAAATGAGTGGTTGGGAGTGAGTAGCACTGCTACTAAGTGAGCAGTGCTACCTGAGCTGAGACCCGAATGGTGAGAAGGAGTCAGCCAAGGCAGGACTCTTCTAGGCGGAGGGACCAGTAGGAGGAAAGGCCCTTAGGGAAAGAGTTTTTTGGGTTAAAGGAAAAAGTGTGGGGGGGAAGCCTAGGGTAGCTGAGGTAGTAGTCAGAGGAAGGGTGGTAGGAAATGAGGTCAGAGAGGTGGGCAGGGGCCAGAACCTATAATGTTGAAGCACCAGGGAAAGCCATTGATGAATATTAAGCAAGGAAATAGCATGAATTAAGAACGTCATTGTGGCTGTTTTGTGGAGAATGAATTGAAACGGGTAAGAATGCAAACAGAGATCCTTGAGGAGGTTCTTGCAGCAGTCCAAACAGTGGTAGTGGGAATGGAGAGAAGTAGATCGATCCAAAACTCACTCAAGAAATAGGGTTTGCTAGTGGATTGGGCATGGAGACCAAGGAATTAAGGATGACTCTCAGGTTTCTGTCTGAGCTAGTGGACAGATGGAGGTGCCTTTGTCGGGGTGCGAAAGACTGAGGCAGAAGCAGGAGGCAGGGGAGTTGCCTAGGGGCCTCATGGCCCGCACTTCTTTCCTGCAAAATTAGTGCGCTGAGCTGGGGGCATCAGTTCCCTAAATAGCATCTCCAGCCACAAAGGAACCTGGAGAAGAAAAGCTGAAATGACCAGCAGTGAACAGGAAGAAATGTTAGGATCACGATGTGTCAGGGCGTTGTCCAGGGAGGCCTGCTGGCTGTCAGTCAGGACATGGAGGGATGTCAACATCTTGGAGGGGCTGCCTCAGCCCAGAGTCCTGGTCCATCTCTTGGTAAGCCCAGAAGCCCCGTTTTATCTATGCCCATAGTCTTCCCAAGCCCCTCTCCCCACCCACCTTCGTGGCTTCCAGCCCAGGTGGCTACATGATGGTCCTTGACCTTTCTATCTCTGACTCTTGCCAGTCATCCTTATAAGAGACTGATGTGCCAACCAGATGAGGCCATTGAGGCCCAGAGACATTATATGAATAGCCCAATGAATAGCCTGTCAGGCAATCCAAGAAGTCTGTAGGAATGCCCGGGGCATAATTCCTTGCAGGCAGAGGGATGACAGTTTCTGATTAGAAGACAGGAGACAGAGGGGCGCCCGGCTGGCTCAGTTGGAGGAGCATGTGACTCTTGATTTTGGGGTTGTGAGCTTGAGCCCCACGTTGGGTGTAGGGAGTGAGTCAGTCAATCCAACAGCCTGATGATTGCCTTGGCTCGCTCTGGGACGGACCAGTTGAGTAATCGGAGTGCTCGAGTTTTCCAGCAGAAATGGACAGTGCCGGGAGGCCCACTTTCCTTCTCTTAGAGGAAGTTTGCATTCCTAGAACTTGGAGTCATCTAGTCTGGTGTCCTCATTTTACATTCAGAAGGAGCTGGCCCAGAAAGTGAAAGTGATTTACACCGGAAGTGCCCTGCTAGAGTCCTTACAGTGCACGTGCCAGGTCCTGGGGGTGCAACTGCCTGACCCTGAACTCCATGTGGCAGGGACCCAGCACTGTTCTCGGGACATGTTCGATCTTATTATTTCTTACCATGGAGCGAGTACTTGTGTGTACCAGACACTGGGACTTAGAGCATTTAATCCTCACAACAGTCCCATCTAGCTAGTAAATGGCAGAGCCAATGGGTAAAACCAAGTATTTTCTTCTGAGTAAGTTCATTTCACTGCCTCAACAAATATTTGTTGAATGAATGAATGAATGAGTGAGTGAATTAAAATAAAAGGAAGAAAGAAAGGAAATATGGTCCCTGTCCTTGGATCTTTTAGCCTCATATCAGCTGCTCCTAAACACCAATTTCTCTCCTTAGCTTTCAACCTGGACTACTACACAGAGGTCCTAGACCTCTCCTACCTGCTCGACCACCTGGCTTCTGACCCTTTCTTCTGCCACTACCGTCAGCTCAATGAGAAACTGGTGCAGCTCATTGAAGACTACAGTCTGGTCTCCTTCATCCCTCTCAACATTCAGGTACTGGGCACTAAGAGGCCTAGCCCTCGCGTAGGCTCTGACAGTGCCTGGGATCTCACCGAGCCAAGGGTACAAGAGGCTTTGAGGGGTCAAACAGGGGTTTTTGTTCTGGGTCTAACTATTATTCAGTCCCCTTGGTTTTAGGACCAGTGGCTCTCATGGGCAGGATTCCAATAAAGAGGGTGGGCCAAACTTTGGCCCTCTCTATTCTGTATTGCTGGGTTGTCTCAACACGTGTTCCCTCATCAGTGTGAAAATGGGTGATTTCAGAAAGTCGTCAACAAGGGATGTGACCAAGGCCAAAGACAGGTCTCTCAGCCTCCTTCAGGATGGGCAGTTGCCTGTTGACTTTACAAAGTAGTACCCAGCCCCTGTGTGGACTTGAGCAAACTTGTCTCTTCCCTGTTAAATGTCACATTTTTCTCCTCTAAAATGAGAAAATTGAACCCTACAATATTAATCATAACAGCTACCACTTACTGAGCACTTCCTGTGCTAGGCATTGTGCTGAGGACTTGTACATGCATTATTCTGAGCTCTCCTTGCCGTCACGTGACGTATAGACTATTCTTATCACTATTCTGAGAAGGAGCAAATAGATTATATACATATTTACTGGGTGTGCCTACTCTCAGCTAAGGACTGTGCCAGGCCCTGAGGATTACCTCGACAAATAAGTCCTTGACCTCAAGGGGTATAAAGTCAAATAGGGGAGGCAGATGAGTTAATAACTTGTCAGTAGTAAGTTGGTAGGATCAGAGCTGTAATAGGATAGCCCCAGGGGACCATGAGTGTGCACAGAGGAGCTTATCTGTTCTGATTTGGGTGGGTTGGTGGACAGGAAAGCTAGGATGTAGCCATGCCTCTGGGGTCATGTAGAGCTACTCCAGGCGCAGAAGCTGCACGTCCAGAGGCTTCGTGAGGCAAGGTTGAGGGGGATGTTTGGAGACTGCTTGCGGTTTGGTACAGCCTCAGTTCCACACGCCTCTGTTTCACTCACAAAGCTGTCTCTCTCCTCCCTGGCCAGGACAAGGAGAGTATCCAGCGGGTCCTGCAGGCTGTGGATAAAGCCAATGGCTACTGCTTCGGGGTCC